CTCTGTCTCAAAAAAAAAAAAAAAAAAGTTCCTGTTGTGCTGGTGATTACAGGAGTTGGAGGTGAGAATGAAAAAGGAAAACATTCTGGGGGCCTTTTCACCTTTCTTTATTCCAAAACCACGGGTAGAGAGAATGTCATCCAACCCAAGCTTACTATGGTCCTCTAAATAGAAACATTACCAGTGGCTCGTGACCCCAACTAGCACAGGGTCTGGGTTAGACACAGGGGAGAGTGGATGTGAATCTGCAACATGTATTCCCATCAGCAAGGGCTTCCCACATAACCTCACCCTGAATACAACCATTAGACTTCACTCCATGTCGTGGCACCAACTATCTCCAGGTCTGAATTTTCATTCATTTCTCTAAAGCAGAAAACTCAGATGGTGTTGTAGTCCAAAGTCAAGAAAATGAGCATGTAGCCGTGTTCCTGAGTTTGGTGCAGAAACAATGATGAGACTGCAGTAGAGTTAAATGTTAAATATAGCCTTGACCATAATTAAGGATTAGAGGGATTAGAGAAGGTGCTTTATAACAAGATCTGCCTATTAAGATAAAATGTGCAGATTACTATCTGGACCCTATGTTCAAAAGCATGCAAAATTGTCTTCTCAAAAAAAATAAAGTTACTCAAGGTGGGCTGACTAGATATGGAAAAATCAGAGAGATGCCCCTTTGAAATGGAAGGGTAACTTGTAGATACAGAGGCAGGAATTAAACTTCATCAAAACTGTTACCATCACTACCATGCTGTCAGGTAAACTGTGTACAAGGCTACTCACTTCAGAATCAGAATTTGACTGAAATTATACCAGTCTCTGTACCTTAAATTCCCAATAGATTCTTTCATAAGGACGAGAAGATTTAGCTGAGAATGGCCCAACCAGTACAACCGAATGCACTACAGGCAGTTTCCTAAACAGTTGCCTTTAATCATGAATATCAGCATGAGTTCCAGTAAGTAGTAAAGGTGAAGTTCAAGCCAGGTCTATCAGATGCCCAAGTTCATTGTTTTCCTTTTTTTTTTCCCTTTGAGACAGAGTCTTGTTCTATCTCCAGGCTGGAGTGCAGTGCCAAGATCTCGGCTCACTGCAACCTCTGCCTCCCGAGTTCAAGCGATTCTCCTGCCTCGGTCTCTTGAGTAGCTGGGACTACAGGCGCGTGCCACCACACCCAGCTAATTTTTGTATTTTCAGTAGAGATGGGGTTTCACCACGCTGGCCAGGATGATCTTGATTTCTTGACCTCATGATCCACCCACCTCGGCCTCTCAAAGTGCTAGGATTAGAGGCATGAGCCACCGCGCCTGGCCCATTGTTTTTCAACTACACCTTCCCCATGATCACCATTTGCTTCTCATTGTGTTTTAGAAGTGGTGTCTGTTTTTCTTAACGTCCTACCCATTCTTCCATGCCTGGCTCCCAGAGAACTTCCCTGACCACTGGAGTCCGCACCTTCATTTTCCGCATCCTCACTCCAGAGACAGTTCAATTCTGCTTGTCATTAGAGACTGCCTGTGTTGTTCGCTAGCGTGGGAATATTCAGGTCCCTCATCTCTACCAAAAACTCCTGTGGTGATTTTAAAATATGTTCACAAATCCTTGTCTCTTCAAAAAGTGGAGCCTAATTCTCTTCCTCGTCGCTTGAATGTGGGCTGGACTTAGTGATTTGATTCTAACAATTAGAATGTGGCGGCTGTGACAGCATGTGACTCCTAGAGTAGATCATAAAAACATGGTACTTCCTATTTCCTCCCCCGACCCAACTCTGTGTGATCTTTTACTCGGGGAGAAGATGGCCGCCCGTGCCATGAGGACACTCAGCCCAATGGAGAGGCCCATATGGTGAGGAACCGAAGCCTCCTGCCAAGGAACAGCCCTTGAGGTCTGCCAACAACTGCATGAATCACTTACTATAGAATGAAAGAAATGTCAGACACTTTAAAATGCTAAATCCCAGACCTTTTTTTTCCATCTTGAAAGTAGATCCTCCAGCCGCAGACGAGCCTCCAGATAACCACAGCCCTGGCTAGCATCTTGACTGAGGCCCCATGAGAGACTCTGAACCAGAACCACTTGGCTTCCTGAGCCACAGAACCGTGGGAGGTAATAAAATGTTGACAGTTTTGAGCCACTGCATTTTAGAGTTGCACCACAGATAACTAATATTCTCCTTGAAGACCCTTTCTTGCCATCTTTCACAATGCCTTACACAGGGTGGTTCTCCTAGTAGGTATCTGTTAAGTATTTGCCAGCCAATTGCTTTGACTGGGAAGGCCAGTCTGTCACCCTAGGACATGGGAGAGCTTAGGAAAAGCTATAACTTGGGCCTTTTAGGTGGCAAAGAGAATATGAAATGGTGAAGGGCACAGCGTGATAGAATGGTGTATTTATTTCCTGCGGCTGCAAGAACAAATTACCACAAACTTGGGGGCTTAAAACGACAGATTTATTCTCTTACAATTCTGGAAGCGAGAAGTTGGAAATCAGTTTCACTGGTCTAAAGGCAAGGTATCAGCAAGGCTGGTTCCTTCTGGAGACTCCAGATGAGAATCCATGTCCTTGCTTTTCAAGCTACCACAGCTATATTTCTTGCATTTCTTGGCTCGTGGTCGCTTTCTCCATCTCTCTCAGTTACTGTCTTCATAGCACCTTCTCTTTTATAAGGACCCTTGTGATGACATCTGTCCCACACAATAATCCAGAATAACGTCCCCATCTCAAGATCTGCAACTTAGTCACATCTGCAAAGTCGCTTTTGCCATACAAGGTGACATTCACAGGTCCCGGAAATGAAGATATGGACATATTTGCAAGAGGCCGTTATTTAGCCTCCTACCACAAGCAGAAAAGCCTCGCTTCTTGCATCGGACAGATTTGAATTCAAATCCTCCGATTAATCATTGTGTGATGTTGAACAAATAACATTAAACTGAGGCAAGTTTTTTTTAAATTTCCATAACAAAGACAAAATGTATTAAATGAATACTACATATAAATGCACCTGGCACTTAGTGGTTGTTTTTTGGTTATTTGGTCTCTCACTACATGCTAGCTTTTCTCTGTCTTCCTTGTATTGAGTAGCTAGGAAGAAAAAGACCCGGGCCAAGAAGGAACTCAGAGGCTGTGAGACTTGACTCGTAACTAGTTTTATATGGCGCTTATCATTTACAAGGCAGTTTAATATCTGTTATGTAATTTGACTATTAATCCCATTTTACCAAATGAAAGAAACAGAGGCACAAAGGAGTTAAGTGATTTTACCAAAATCGCCCTGCTAGTAAGTGTCAGAACTGAGTTTCCTGATGCTAAGTCCTAAGTTTTTTCCTTTATATCAAATGTATTTGAGTAGAGTCTGCAAAAAAAATGAGAACAGCTACCAAATAAAGCAAAGGAAATGAGAAAAGAAGGCCAACCAAAGAGTGTGTTACTGTGAATGGGTGAAGGAATGGTGCACAAAAGCTTTCAGAGGACAGAAAGGAAATGCAATTATAAGAAGACAGTGTTCCTCCGAGCAGGTCCAGGCTGGCTCTCAGGGAAGTAGGGAGAGAATGGGACTGACTTTCACCTTGATACGATCCACTCTAATTCCTTTCCTCTCACAAAGAAAGGCACAGAGAAGCAATGTGGAGACTGCTTTCTGAACTTTGGGAATAAAAAACTTTCTCATGTGGCTAATCAGTTTGGCTTATCCGATGAGACACCATCACAGGAGTTAAAGGCGAATCCGGGGATGATTCTGGGAGGTAACAACATTGGATGGTACCGCTGCACGGCCTGTCTGGCTCCTGAGCGTGATGTGTTCTCCCTCTCATCTCCCAGATGGGGTCTAGACTCAGAAGGTGGGAGAGCTGCCCTGCTGGGGGCCGAGGTTACAGTGAGGGGAGAAGTTTGCTACTGCCTAGGGTGAGAAATCACATCAATAATAAACACATCGCATGTTCCCTTTCCAATTTGCAAAGCACTAATACTCTCTATTTTTTTCACTTAGCCTCACAAAATCATGCTCAAAAAAAAAAAAAAAGATGCAATGAAAGAACTACTACCATTTATTGAATGTTGAATATGTGCTAATCACTGGACAAGGAGTCTTGTGTCTTTGCGATTAGCACATACAAGGATCATATAAATGTAATCATCTCAATTTCTCTGTAAAGTATGTCTTTTTACCTCCAGAAGGACTTAAGGTTCAGAGAGGGTAAGAGGCTTGCCCAAAGACCGCAGCTACCAGGTGACAGGTCGGAATTCAAATGCAGGACAGCAAGATGCTTGCTAGCAGATCATTTCAAACGAGCATGCCTGGCACGCAGTAAACACTCCGTAAGTGGTGTCGTCTGCTACCGTCAGTGTTCTCAGAAAGGCTCTGGCCCATCCTATCTAGAATCATCACTCCATTGCACGCTTGCCACTGGAACCAACTCTTTGCTCTGGAGTTAGGATAAATCATTGCTGGCTTCAGGCCTTTCTCCATTAAAAAAACATACCCATGGAGACAATGAATACAGTGAATTTCCACCGTCATCACGCCTTGGTGTCAATCAGAAGGAATGTCCCACAGGAAGGCTAGGACTGGGCATTCCTCTCTACCTATCACACGATTTGATGAGCACAAGGTGCTGTGGTTTGATGTATAGAGTCTGCCTTTCTTAAAGGAGCCCTGATTGTGGACTGGAGGGGTCTGTGTGAATGACTGCCCTGAGGTCAGCCTGGCAGAGGGCAGGATGGCTATCTCTCCACTGTGGCTACAGCTGCCTTTGGAGCTTTCTCGGGAATCCCCAGTGTCTACTGATAGAACAAATGTACACAAACACACCAGAGCCAGCTCCTGCCGGAAACAGACTCTGAAAGCTACAGCGACCAGGCCCAGAAAAGTCCCCCCCCAGGCCAGCTCAATTCCCACCAGCAGGGGTCACACCTGAGCAGCCAGAAGGTTGAGGGGCCCTGAGAGTCTGGCCTACCAGCCAGCAAACCTTTGTATGCTGAGGGTGTGGCACACACTTAGTCAGCACGTGGAAGGGGAACTGGAGGAGAACATTCCACTGAAAGGAGGTCCTGGTGGACTGGGGCCAACTCCCCAGGAGCAGAGGAAGCAGCCAGCACCCTGGATGGGCAGAAGCAAGACCAGGGTAAGCTACACTACAAATTGTGCCTCTGCAGGCGGCTGCCAATGCCACCTTAACGAGGTGTCTCAGACAACCAGAGGCAGCTGTTCACCAGATGGCCCTTCCCCGCTAGTGGCAGGAGGCTATGTCACATCCCCTGGAATGCCACCCCGGTCAGATGGCCAGATGGAAGCTGAAGAAGCCCTGAGTCAGTCCTGGAACCAGAGCCCCCACAGTGGGCCATGACCCGTCCCAGCTGAAAGAGTGGAGAGGGCCCTTTCCATAGCCATTTGGGTTCTGATTTTTTATTCTTTCCCTCTGGAGGAGGAGCCAAAGGACCTTCCTCAGCAAGGGAGGTGGTAGGAACGGGGGTGAATGTCACAGGCTGGGTTTGGATGCTTTTGTGGTAACTCAGAGCCTGAGCACGAGGCATATCTGAAAAAAAAAAAAATCTTGAATAAAACATGGAAAATGAAGTCCACCTTCCAGCGTTTTTCTCATAGCTGGGAGTTGGGGCCTCTGTGGCAGCTGACTTCATTTTCCCCTTAGCATCTGAGGTCCTCACAGCAGGCAGACCCAGCTAGACTTCAGATGACTCCATCCACAGGGGAACAGGATTCAAATTGCCTCCTGATAACCTCTCAGGACATTATTTTCCCCCTTCTGGTTAATTTCTATTTCAATGTTAAGCAGAGACCTTTCTTCCCTCTCGGCTACTATCCCATTTATTAGTAGTTTAATTTAGAAAAGGACTCTTTAAAATATTCCATTGAAATAATTATCCTGGCTTGGGAGAGGAGCCCCAGCCACAGTGGGTGGTTTGTGTTGCTCTGAGGCTATGAGGCTGGCACTGGCTCCCTGGTGAGTGATGGGGACACACCCTGTGGTCCGGGGCTAGAGAACAAGGGCTGGAGCACAGCGCCCTGCACCTAGCTCTTTGTTGGGTCAGAGCCCGGGTGGGCTGTGTGTGGGGGGAACAAGATGGGTATACCCACAGAGAAGGGGCTGAGGTGGGAGAGGGGGGGCATGGGGGCTGACCCCAGGCAGGACCGAGACCTGAGCTTACAGGTGCAGGACAATCCCCAGGATGTCTTGCTGCCCTCTGTCTCCAAAAGAGGTGGAAATCCTCACCCGTGCTTAGCATTCCCCTACCTCTGCGGCAAGGAATCCTGCTCCCTGAGGGTGACCACTTGGTCCCCGGCCCTGACTCTGCCCCAGGACAAAGTACAGAAAGGTCTGTTGAGAGTCAGCAGGTGAGGTCGGAAGAGGCAGGCTTTGAGGCAGACAGAATGAATCCAATTCAGATCCCCCACTCACTGGCTAGGTGACCATGGGCAAGTGAGTTAATTTCTTTTTGACTTACTTTCTTCCTCTGAAAGCTGGAGATAATGATAGCTACCTGGAAGTATTTTCTAAGGAGAGTGTATGTGTGCAGGAAGAATGGCCAGGGAGGGGCCTGTCAAGTAAGTGCTCAATAAAAGTCCTTTTCTGCTTCCCTTTCCATGTGAGTAGGGCCAACGGAGAGGGCCCAGAGCTCAGCCTCGCATCATTGGCTGCCAGCCCTATTGCTACCTAATGCTCTTTCTGAGTCTCCTACTTGAAGGGACATGATGCACAGGGAGACAGAGCCCCAAACCTGGGACAAGGCCAGCCTGAACAGAAGCTGGACAGACGCTGGGTATCCACTGGGCACAGCCCCTGGAGGCCACGTAGGAAAGCACCCACAAGCACCTACATTTGCATAGTGTTCTATAAACCTCAAAGCATCTTTGCCTATGTTTCAGCATTTGCCTAATATCACTCTTTGAGGTAGATAGAGCAGGTATGCCTTTTATCTTTCTCGTTTTACAGATGAGAAACCCAAGGTTTCAGCAGTTTCTATAACTTGCTCAAGGTCACAGAGCTAGTGAGATGCAGAGTTGGGGTTCAAACCCACTTCTTCCGGCCTCTAGTCCAGTACCCTTTTCACCACACCCTGTTAACAAGCATCTTTCCACTGAAGCTGCTTCTGAGGCTGAGGAGGAGATAAGATTCCGTTCAAGGTTAACCACAGCCTCTGAGTTGGAAGGACTGGGGTGGGGGCTGACCTCTCTGGACTGGCTTGTTGATTTAGTGCTAGCTTGACCCCTTCAATTAGCTGCTGGACAGAGCCAGGCCCAGGAGAGACGAACGGCAGGGCTTAATGGAAATGGGGATGCTGGTGATGATATGAACAATCTGAATTATGGTCTCAATTTGCACAGAGTCTGATGGATTTGCAATAATTCCAAACCAGGTCAAGTGTCTGTGTCTTCTCTTTTGCTGATCTCACACAAGGTATCTCCATTTGTCAGGCTCCAACTCCCTCTCTCCCAGAAGCTGCCCGTCCCCTCTTCCCTGCTGCTTTTGCAAAGTTTTCTGAGTTCTGTCTGCAGTACTCTGACCTGAGTGCACCTCTAGAGCTGGGCCCAGAGCGACGGAAGCTGCTACTAGCATGGCACGGTCCTGGGAGTTTTGAGGACACCCACAGAGACAGACGGTGCACACGAGGTGAGAAAAGGGTCAGCTCTCCATCATCTCGAGGCCTCATGCTATGGTCATTTTGTTTGTTTTGAGATAGAGTTTCACTCTTGTTGCCCAGGCTGGAGTGCAATGGCGCGATCTCGGCTCACTGCTACCTCCGCCTCCCGGGTTCAAGTGATTCTTCCGCCTCAGCCTCCCAAGTGGCCGGGATTACAGGCACCTGCCACCATGCCCAGCCAATTTTTTGTATTTTTAGTAGAAACGGGGTTTCAACATGTTGGCCAGGCTGATCTCAAACTCCTGACCTCAGGTAATCCACCCACCTCGGCCTCCCAAAGTGCTGGGATTACAGGTGTGAGCCACTGTGCCTGGCCTTGTGATCATTTTTAAGACAAGGGGATGGCATAATTTGGTGTCTTAGGGGATCATCTTGTGTAGGTGTAAAATGGCTACAATTAATGGATGCAGAGATACAGTTGCATGTAGTCCTCCTAGTACCAGGAACTAGGATAGCAAAGGCCTGAAGCAGATGCCAGACCCTCCTCCAGGCCAAACCAGGGATAAATGACCCATTCCACAGCTCATGAGCACTCTTAGACCTGGGCACTGACACCAGCTACACTGTATGGCACCCTGGGCAAGCCTGTTCATGGTTCTGCTCCTTCCTTCTTAACCCTTGGTATGAATTAATCTATATAGATTGCTAGATAATCCACAATTGTTGGATGAGCATCAGCTATACACTTGGCTCTGGGATGGGTGCTGTGGGATAAAGAAGACTTTTTAAAAATAACTATTATTAGTATCATTTATTGAACACTTATTATATGCCAGGTATTGTGCTAAATACATTACATACATTACCTCTTCCTTTCTCATTTTTTTTTTTTTACCTTAAAAGGTAAGGTCTATTATCATCTCCATTTTATAAAGAAACAGAGGCCCAGAGAAGTTAAGTAACTTGCTAACGATGACATAACTGATAAGAGGAAGAGACGCAATTTGCACTCAAATTTGTCTTGGTCTCAAAATACGCTCCTGACCACTAAGCAAAGATACCATCCCAACCTTAAGGAGCCTAAAATCTAATAGGAATGAAAAAACATAGTGCACAAGGAACACAAGGATAATGAAGCAAAACAGCAAAGAAGATGGTACTCTGTGCTGTGCAGATGAGAGATGCTTGGCCTTGAGGGCGAAGAGAGAGCGTCATGGGTCAAATTAATGAAGAAACTTTTGAGTAAGCCTTGGAGCGTGGGAAAACTGAGGCAGGGAAAGAAAATGTATCTAGTGAACAGAGTAGAGCAGAGAGGCCCCAGCAGGGACTTGGGGCATGGGAGGAAGAAAGCCTAGAGAGAACACTTAGAGCCACATTAGGAAGGAAACCTTGAGTGCTTGGATAAGGAATATAAAATTGATCTCTTGGGCAATGCAGAAGAGCCTTCAGCTGAGAGAATATAGGGGCATGACTGAATCACAGTGTGGGGAGCAAAGAGCTCTTGCCCCACCTGGGAGACACAACCTTCCCGGCACTCAACACCCACACTGAGCAGCCACTGCAGTAGTCTATAAGACAGAATGTGGAGACTCGTGAATAAGAGGACCCATTAACAATCCCCACCGTCTGGGTGACAGAACGTTAAGACAGAGAAAGACAAGAGAGGAGAGAGAAGGACAGGGTGGGACTGAAAGCAGAAAGATGACATAAGCCAAGCCCTGAGGCCTGGGGAAGGCTGGGGGACACCCATGGCCATGAAGCTGTCTGAAAACCTACAGGTGAGAGGGGATCACCAGAATGCACCCTGGGGCCAAACACTCCCAAGCTGGGGAACTGGAGAAACTGCTTTGTACAGCATCGTGACCCAGCTCACTCCTGAGCAGTGGGCTCTGTAAGAGCCGAAAGACTCTCTTCTTGTGGAAGCTAAGATTGGTAGTAGCCAAGCCAGCTGGAGTACCTGTTCAGCTATCACAAAGGGCAAGACGGGTGGAAGTGGGAGCTAAGTTTTCACAGCTCCAGTTCCCCTCCAGCAGGGGCTGTGGGTGGCAGGGGCATGCTGAACAGCAGGTTTGGCTGGCTGCTCCAGACCATCAGCCTTGACCGACCCAAACAGGAAATATCATCCATTGGTTCTGCAGCAATGGCTGGTGAGCCCCACATGCTATCTGTCCCACCAGACAGAACTGTGCCTTATGGAGAAAGAGCAACTGACATGTTCTCTATGGGAAAGGTACAAGTAGGAACTGGAGGTGGGGTGGGAAGAGCTCACAGGACTTAAGCTAGCCCTAGCCTAGCAGAGGTCAAGCACTATAGAAAGGCACCTTTAAATCATTCCTTGGAGGGATCTGAAAGTCATGGTTGACTTCCTGACAAAAAGAGTTTGGTGAAACTCTTAGAAATCATTAGTTCAACACTTTACAATTGACAAGGTCTTTTACTTACATTATCCCACCTAGTTGCCACTATAACCCTTTGAAGTAGACAAAAGAGATATCACTCTCCGCATTTTACAAATGAAAAAACAAAAAAACAAAAAAAGAATGATCAGAGAGGACTATGTCTTGCCCAAGGTTGCACAGCTCAAGAGTAGGACTGCAGGGATTCATTCCTGGGCTCCTCTCTTCATAGCCCTTTTTTCTTTATTAAACCCTGTTGCCTACTCTACAGTGACTGTTGGATTTGAAGAAAGGCAAGACCAATCCTAGAAAATAAGAACCTTAACTGGTCGCTCATCTTGCACAGAAATAGTTTGTTTAATATGTTTAGTTTCATAATGGGTTACCCTGTTATATCCCAGAAAGGAGGAGGTACACATGAACTGAGGAGAAGGTAAACTAAGATCCATTAAGTCTATTGAATGGGCTGGGTGTTATATCTTTATTTAACATTCACTATTTATTCATCCATACATTCTACAATTATATTCCTGAAAGGTAGGTACTACCCTAGGCATAGGGGCACAATGAAAACACAGAAGACATGACTCCTGTCCTCATAGAACATAAATTCTAGTAAAAATTATAGAAAACAAACAACCAAAAATACCCTTCTGCATTATGCTAATGAAACAAAGAAATAAAAGACTAAGGTAGACAATGGAAGGAAAGAGGGTATGTTCTTTAGATACTATAGTTAAGGAAGGCCTCTGTGAGAAGCTCTCATTGTAAAGAGATCATAGAAGATCATTTCAGGCTGACCATCTTGAATAGTGGGCCACACTCAGAGAACGAAGAATCTATAGAGTATTTAAATAAAGTCAGATTCACTGGAACAAACAGAATTGGGAATCCCATCCCTAAAGGGGTGAACGTAAGGACAGATGGTATAGTACTGTGTTAGGCAGGGGAAAGAGTTGGGTTTACTCACACTGCATTAAAGGATTTTATACAGGTAGGTGGCATGATCTAACAGATATTTTAGGAAGGTCATTTGTATTGCTGTTTCGGGAATACAAGGGGTAAAGTTGAAACAGGAAGCCTAGTTAGAAGAGTATTTCAATCATTCTGTTGGAAAGTGATGGCAGTGTGGATTGGTGAAGGCAGTAGAAAATGGCAAATGAATGCAGAATCTATTTTGGAGGTATAATTGACAGAATTTGCTGTTGGATTAGAAAGGTAGGAGTTAGAGAAAGGAAAGAATCAAGAACAATTTCTAGAGTTCTAATTTAGGTAATTGGATGAGTGGCAGTGACATTTATTGAGACAGAGCAGGCAAGGCAAGAGAGGTTTTGAGTGAAGATGTGGGAGTGAAGAGTTCTCTTTTGGACTTGTTAACTCAAGATGTCAGTGGGACATTCCGGAGGAGATGTGAAGTAGATATTTGGATATGAAAGTCTGGAGTTCAGATGATAGGGCTGGGCTGGAGAGACAAATCTGACAATTGTCAGTACCTATGTGGCATTTTAAAGTCACAGGAATGAGAATATCTAGAAAGAGAACGTAGAGAAGGGAAAGGAGGTCTCATGATCTAGCCTCAAGGAAGTCCAGCGTTTAGAGGAGGAGAACCCAGCAAAGAAAACTAGGAGTGGATCACGGAGTAGAAAAAGAAAACAAACACAGGAGCCAAGAAGTCACAGCATCCACAAAGAGTTTCATGTTTCAAGAAGGAAATATAAACAACAGTGTCAAATTCTGCTGAGAGGTCAAGAGGAGGACTGATTTGGCCACTGGAAAGTCATCAGTGACCTTTAGAAAAGCAGTTTCAGTAGAGTGTGGAAGCAGCCAGATGGGAACGAATTGAGTTGTAAATATGAGGTATGAGACCAAGACAAACAACTCCCTCCCCTACCCACCAAAAAAAAAAAAAAAAGAAGAAGGAAAAACAAAAAGGAAACACTGGGTGAATTGCACAGGGTTGAGGGAAGGTTACTATATTCTTGATGTTTCATAAGTCAGGAGACGCTAGAACATGTTTGTATGATGCAAATGATTCAGTACAGTGGAAGAAATTAATGACACAGTAGAGACAGGGCATAACCAAGAAACACAATCTTTAAGAATGTAGAAGGAGGCAGAACCAGAGCATCTGAGAATTGACTTTTAATAGGGAAGAAATTAATAATTTCTCCATTATAATAAGAGAGAAGGAGGAAATGGTTGCTGATGCAGGTGGATTTGTAGGATCAATAGGGAATTAGCATCCAGTAGCTTCTATTTCTTCGGAAAGGATTGAGGTCACCCATGGAGAATGAGTGCTGATAAGGGAATATGGAATTTGAAGAGGGAGGAAAAGATGTGAAATGATTATGTTGGAAAATGAAGAATAAGTCTATTAGAACACAGTAGAGTTGCCAGGCAGCTATGATTCCCCAACTGAAATGTGTCATCATGAATTAATTTCTTTTAAAAAAAACTTTGTTTTGTGGCTTTCTCCATTAGTGCTCTGCTGCTCAGAAACAGGCATGGAGAAGGAAAGTTGCACTTAAAAGCCCTACAGGAGTTTCGCAAGACAAAAGTTTAATGAAAGGAGAGAAGAGCACAGGAACTGAAGGTATTTGGTAAGGAACTGTCATGAAAAACTATAGAATTTGGGCTGGACTAGGAAGTAAAGCTAAGCAGGTGCTGGTGGAAATGAGGAATGAGTGGGGTCAAAGGATTAAGGATCTCCAAGAAGGCAAAGATTTGTAAAAGAGGAGGTATTGGTGCAAGGAAGGTAGAACAATTGGTAGGTTGGAAAATAATGTGTTTGAAATTGAGATTTGCAAAGTGGTATAGTTTCTATTGCCTGCAAGGCAGAGTATGGTCATAGGAATGAGGAGGACCACAGAAAAAAAAACAGAAAAAAAGCATGGCTGGACTTAAGAAGGTCAAGAAGAGGGGCCCAGGTGTTGAATGGCTCATCCCTCTGCTTAGCTTATGCTCTGTTAGAGGCAAGTGGAAGATGTGTACATACCTTCACATGAATCCGCCATCTTTCCAAGATGTAAATGCCTCACTTGAGATAAGAAGCGTCCATATGACCTGTTTCAGCATTACTCAAACTTGTTCTTTATGGCTAAACAACTCTCAGGCATGGTACTCTTTATGGAGCATCATGAAATATGGACATATTAAACTTAAAATCGCTCAACATAAAATTTTTTTACAATATCAGACACCATCTAAAACTAGATTTTAGCTTCCATAAGTGGCGCATCTGGTGTCAAAGGCTTAAGATAATGAATTAAAGTGGAGAAATTCTATCCACTCACTTACTGTTTTCCGAGTACTAGGAAAAAGACACCCATCTCCTGTCTCTCATTCTTCCCTTGAGAATGATGTATACTTGAGGCTCTGCCTAAATGGGTCTCCAGGGCTCTGAGAGGAAGGGGAGAGACTCCTGGCCTAGGAAAGGGGGAACTAAGGGGCTCCACACTCAGAGACCTGGAAATAAATGGAGCTAGAGCTTCTTGCTCTTGGTGCTCTAGGAAGTGAATCAAAGGAGGGGTTCTGAACAACAAGCCAGCCCCATCCACACTTCTAGATAGATCACATGAGAACTTCAGGTAATTGCCTCATCTTACCTGGCACATGTTTGCTAATTTTATTACACAGCTTCTTTCTTTCTGTTAACTAGTGGTTTTAAAATATCTTAAAGTAGATCGAGACTATCCTGGCCAACATGGTGAAACCCTGTCTCTACTAAAAATACAAAAATTAGCTGGGTGTGGTGGTGCACGCCTGTAGTCCCAGCTACTCAGGAGGCTGAGGCAGAAGAATCACTTGAACCAGGGAGTCAGAGGCTGCAGTGAGCTGAGATCACACCACTGCACTCCAGCCTGGGGACAGAGCGAGACTCTGTCCCAAAAA